ATGGAGGATGACTGGTTTTCTCAGGGGTCACAAAAGCTCTGAATTACTAAACTGTTTAGAACAGGACTGAGACAGAAGTGTAAAGTCCACATCCTCCGGGTTGCTTTGGTGAGCCAGACCGTAACCTGGCAACTCCAAGGTCAAATCAGATGCCGTTCAGAGACCACTTGCAGTAATTTTCTGAACAATGACTCAATGCTGGCAGAAACCTCACACACTAGAATGGCCTCTGCCAAAGATACTCGTCCATCCATTAAGCAGAGGGTAAAGGGGCTGGCCATCTCATCATCAACTGGATGGTTAGCCTGGGCAAGTCCATGGGTCACTGAATGGACCGAAAGATAGAGGACTCACCGCCGCGGAGTCGAGAGGCAGGAACGAAGGCAGTAGGGGAAAGAGATCCAGGGAGTTCAGGGTGGATCCTCCAGGGCTGCCAGAGGAGGCTGAGAAGCAAATCTCAAGCCTCTCCACAAAAGCTGAATCCGTCTCTGTAAGTAAAGTCTATATGAGATAATCCATGGCGGGGGCTTAGCGCAGCGGCCATGCGTAGTAGTAATAACAGATGCCATTTATCAAACACTTTAACAACAGTGGAACCTCCTCAGCTGTCCCTCAAAGGCAGCCACGGTAGGAAAAGAATTCAAGGAAGAACTGACCCAGGCGAAGAATTTTAGTTTGGTTTTTTTCTTTGTTGCTGCTGCTGCTCTCACCAGAGAACATCACGTTTTGTGCACCTTAAATGCAACCCTCCCAAGAGCGCCTTCCTTCAGGAATGAGAAGGGAGGTTTGCAGGGAGATTTCGGATGAGGCTGCAGAGAACTGAAGAAGCTCCTCCTAAAGTTATTACATCTAAGGCCCCGCAATCTTTGGAGGCTGCAAGCAAAGGGTTAAGTGCAGACTTGGTGAAGCTAGGAAATTTTAGAGTGAGCACGAGTTAAACAATGTGAAAAATCAGCAAAACTGGTCCGCCACCAGCAGCAGTCTCCCCGAAATAGGCTCTCATTTACTTTTCATTTCTTCCGCTTTCCAGTCTCTTCTCTTTGAAGCAGCTCTTGATTAGTTTCTTTTTTAATTGCCACTTAATTGGGAAATAAAATTAGAACACTTATTTGATATCAGTGATGAGGTTTCGCTTTTCATTTCTGCTTTGATCTAGTTTTGAAAAGCCAGAAGCTGAAGGGAGAAATTGCGAAAAAGGGACCTAAAAGGCTGCTTCTTTCCAAGAGCTAGAAGCAGCTATAGGCCATCAAGTAAATATGGAAAGAACCACTCTCGGAGAATCTGAAGAATAAAACAAAAGCAAGAGAGGCTAGCTTTATGGAATTTCCTTGCAAAAAGCCCTTTGTTTTCTCTTAAGTTTCTTCATAAAGGATAACAGCTCAGGATTGTGAGGTCAACTTATGAGAACTTATCTCAACCTGTCCCTATTTAGAAAGAAAGCTGGATGGGAAAGAGACATCGCTTATTAAAGGGACGATTTACCAGCATCTCAGTAGCATCAATGATACTGCAAAACAAATTATAAAAGAATCCCAGAACAAAATAATATAAAAGCTCTTTCCTGTTCCAATCATCCAAATAAACTTTACTGGTTTGTAACCCAAAACTAAAACCTAGTGCTAGCAGCTGAGGCTTATTTTTTAATAACAGTTCTTGGAAAGCCTTTCACTAAAAGCAAACAAACAAATTAAATCATACAGATGATCTGTGAACTGCAGGGGGACACGGCATTAGGATGATCTTTAGTCTGACTCGGCCCTCGACTGCTCAGGGTAACTTATGTCAGGCGAGTAACTGGGGGAGAAATGCTGCCTGCCTTTGTCGAGTCGATTTTTAAAAACACACCTGACAGAGAAACTGGAGATACATATATATGAAATATACGTATGCACTGCATGTATGGATGTGAACATATATCTGTGCTTAAAAGTATGTGTGAAATTGGTACTCATCAAATATTTATTTATAAATTATGGAAAAAACACAACACAAGAAAAGTCAAGAACTAAGTTTATATACAAAGGGACCCAAGAAACTAGCATGTCTCTATTGCCTATTATTCCAGTGCCCGAATGTAGCCTATTTCATTTGTGTAAAGTGCTGTGAGCCCTTTCGGAAAGGAAGGCCTAAAAGAATACGGATTAGTTTGAACTGTATGAACTTTTCTTGCACATTGTGTTTTAGACTCATTAGCATCGAAAGGAGGTATTCCTCTTCAATTTTTACATCACTTTTGAAAACGTTTTATGTGATATTAAATAAAGACAAGAAAAATTTCAAGAAGCCAAAAAACAAACAAACATATAGTGGAAAACTTCCAGGGCAAATGAGAGGACCCCTGAGTTCTGTAGGGAATTCACAGAAAACTGCCATAAGGCTTACAATAAAGACTGACTTGGGGAAAGAAAGTGTCTATGTAAGAAAAACCTGACACTCTTCCCCTCAGAGAGTAGAAACTCCACTAACATTGAGCCATGAATTTTAACATTTGCCATTTGTTCATCCAGCAAATACTCACTAATGCCCATTATTAAGTGCCAGGCATCTCAAAAGACATAGTCCCTGTACTCAGGCCCCTTACGATCAGGGGAGGTGGGAACTGAACATGTTATTTAACTGTTGTTATAAAACCTACAAAAAACGGTGCAGGGTAAGAGCACAAGCTGGGGGGAGGAATGATAGGGAAGATGTGAAGAAAGAACAGGAGGGAGAGGCAAGGCCGCATTCTGGATGTTATCTCATTTAATCCCTACAACTGGAGATTAAGTGACTTTCCCAAGGTTACAGGACAAGTCAGAACCAGGCTTCGAACCCAGGCATGAATGACCCCCACATCCATGCTTTTCCCACTGCGCCCCACTGCCTCTTTCCAAAATCGTTTCCTCTAACAATTAATGAATAAGAAAATACTGACCCCTCAGATTCACAACCTCAGATCTGACCTTAGATTCCAAGGCCGAGAAGTAGGCTGTCCTCCAAGCGGGGGTCCTCTGTTTTTCACCTGCCACGTCCAAGCTCATTTACACAGACCTCAATGGATCTGGGATGCTAATAAATGTGTTCACCCAGACCATATATGAATGTGCAACCACAATGACAACAAAACACCATCAAAGTTCCTTTTTCTCTTAAGGTTACCACTTTGTTGTACTGTAAATAAAACAGAACTTTCTGCCAAACAGTTTTGCAAAGTGATTCACAGATCATGGGGAGCAAAACCAATTAAAGAGCTATAGATGCTGGTCGGCGCAACAGTTGAGTGGAGAAAAATAAAAGTGACTACACACACCCCGTGAAGAAAAAAAGCCATATTTTCCCTTCTGAAATGACTTCTGAATTCAACGACTCTCATCTACCGTAAGGATTTCTACTCAGGAGGGCTGCACTTTCCCTTCTTCCTGTTCCTGGTTCCTCTTTAAAAGCTCTTCCTTTTTCAGGAATCTCAAGCTTCAAGGTTTTTGTTACGTATATCATTATATCTGTTGTGAGTTATAGCAAAAGAACACACTCTTATAAAACCAGATCTAACAAACTTCCTTTTCCTCTACATTCTTCTTGTGATTTTTAATGCGGGTCAAAAAACATAAAAGCTAGATCTTTTAACGTCAGGATTCATCACACGCAAATTAAAAACTACTCAAATAAGGGCGCCTGGGTGGCTTAGTCGGTTAAGCGTCCGACTTGCACTTAGGTCATGATCTCGCGGTTCGTGGGTTCAAGCCCCGCGTCGGGCTCTGTGCTGACTGCCAGCTCAGAGCCTGGAGCCTGTTTCAGAGTCTGTGACTCCCTCTCTCTCTGACCCTCCCCTGCTCACGCTGTCTCTCTCTCTCTCCTAGAAATAAATAAAACATTAAAAAAAAAACACTACTCAAATAATCTTTTGTTGTTTCATCTCTACAAGGCAGCAGATTTTTTTTTAAGTTTACCCAAAGATTTCAACCTTCTACTTTTACCTACAGGACGACTGCTAATACTGCAAATGACGTCATGGCTATGAAAACAAGACTAACACACACACGAAATCAGACCACCACAGACTAATCCAAAGTTATACATCTGAAAAAGTCTCTCATAACTTTTCACTAAAAAACATCTCTGTCAATGTGGACAGACAGGGACAGAGTAAACTTCAGCACCAGCCATTGTAACAATATGAAGAAAGAATGACAGGGTGTGGCTTACAAGAACAAAAACTGATTTGGAAATAGAGCCCGACACTGAAATGCCTGATGAATTTTTTCTGCCCAAGTAACAAACAGTTACTAGTAGGCAAAACTGTAAAGCACAGAACAGGCAGTACTAAACTCACTTCCAATCCCCCCGACCGAGATGCATCATCATTCAATTTCTTAAAGCTTTGAGGCTATTTCACAACATTAACAGAGGAGAGATCCTGGAAGATCTAATTATATATTGCTCAGGAAACTTACGGATTATTTGGAACAATGGCCACCGAATACCTCAAAACACTACCATACAGTAATTACACGTACGGTTTATAAGGTAAGTTTGTATTTTGAGACTCTCCTGTAGTGATATTTTACAACATAATTATGGTTTATACAGCCTGATTTATTTCCTCATTGAAGGTGAACTGTAGCGAAATGTTTTATTATTCGTTTATTGCTAATCACGTTGGTCACACACCTCTACAAGTAACGTTCCTTTGAACTGCTCGGTTAGATTGACCTGTGTTGTGCCACTGAAAACCATCGTCCAACATGCTCTTTTCCCTGGACGCAGGTGAAGCACACGAGTGGAACACCACACAGAAAAACTTTTATATAATAAAAGTACTGAATGTCTCCGGCCCTTAATATACTGAGCACCCACCCTGATAAGTGACAAAGACAGCAACCAATCGCCAGGCAGGACCCCAGTGTCCCAGCCAATAAGAATATGGGGGTGGGGCTACACTAAGCTCCCGGTGACTTCCCCGCACCCCAGAGACCCAGGTTGTGGGAGACTGGACAGGAATTGGACTCCGAGGATATCGTTACCCCCGGCTGTAGCTGTTGTCCTCCTCGTTCTCGCAGTCGCTGCAGTGCTCATGGCCGTTTCCGTTCCCTTCCATCATTTGCGGCAGCGGAGGTGCCGGCGGCTTCACTGCTGTCTCACTCTCGTCCGCCATCTTGAGTTGCAAGAGCCGGCCTCCGCGCCTCACTACATAAGGGGTTCCTATTGGACGAGAGGAACTTGCGGTATCTTCTGGGTTTTGTAGTTTTTGTGGTGAAGGAAGCCGTGACTAGGAACACCTCATTCCCTCGAAACCGGAACAAGGTGAACTACAATACCCAGAAATCATGAAGGGAGGCTGTCCGAGGTGGGGGGGGCCAGCACTATCCGGAAGTCCTGGGCGTTCAGCCCCGTTTTGAGGAAAGAAGGGCTCCAAGGTTGGCTGGGCCGGCGTTCCGCGACGGGGCGGCCGCGTGGTGTGCTGGGAACTGTAGTTCGATGCAGAAGTAGGATTTCTGGATGAGGCGCCAAAATCCAAGGTTTGACCTCAGCCTGCCCTTGTTAGTGCCTGAACCACAGGTGAGCCGTTATTGGCTGCCGTTTAGGACCGTTACCATTCCCGGGTAAGTAGTGAGGACTGAGCGCTGCGGGTGCTACCCACCGGGAGCCTGAATGCGTCAGGCCTTCTTGGAGAGCCTTTGCTGTAAGAAGGCAGATTGGTTCTGGCCGCCTTTCTTCACTCTTGACCCTGGGCGTCCCCTGGGCGTTGGTAGTTCAAGGCCCCTTGAGAAGTGGTGGATTGTGGTGTGCGGAGCACTGATCCTGAGTCAGGAGACCTGACTGCTCCGCCAAGCTTGGCCGCTTCTTGGCCTCCAGATACTGGGGCTCCACGAAGCTCACACAATGTCCCTGTCATTCTCCACATCTACTCTCTAATGAGCACTTATATGCCAGAGTCTGTTGTTAAGGATTTTCGTACATCTCATGGAATCCTCTCGTCAAGCCTAGAATGTGCATTGTATTGTTATCCCCCAGAGAAAGAAATGTAGCCCAGGTTGGTTGGTAAATGTCACGATCCCATAGCCAGTAAGTGGCAAAATCAGTATTCAGATTTGGATCTGTCTGCCCTTAGGTCCTCTGAATTCTTTACCACTGCAAAAGGCCCATTGTTTGGTACAGTTATTAGAAAGTAGTTGTAACCTCTTAATCTATGTTTATCATGGACTGAACTGAATGCTTCAATCCTTTGGGTCTCACCCTTGTGATTAAGTAACTGCACCTGAACCTTGAGGCCTGCGCCCGAAGATCTGGTTCCCATTTCTAGAGATTACCCATGCAGTTTGGATTGTGGGATTGTACAGGAAGGACATGTTCTTATCATCAGAGTGTTCCATGACTGAAAAAAGAAATGATCTTTGCCTTTGGGAAATTCTTCAACATGGAAAGAAAGATGAAGTGGGAAGAAACACTTCCCGTCTGACTCAAAGCGCTAAATATTGTCAGTTCTTCATTTTTCTCAGTAGCAAGAGCAGAAGTAAATATGATCCAAAACAACAGATAATCCCCTAATCATTTATATCTGACGTTAGAAGGGAAAGACACCCGTTCAGACTGAGAAGTGTCACCCACACTCCTCTCTCCAGGACCAAGAGTGCTTGTATGCAGCTGCAGGCCAAAGGGGGAAGTCAAAGATAATAATAATGAAGCCTTACATGTGTTAGATGGATTTAACTTCTGAGTGTTTCACGTGGTTTAGCTCGTGTGACCTTGTAAAGTAGGTAGGGAAGGGGACTTGAAGGAAATTAGGCTTGCCAAAAATGTGTGTGTGAGAGAGAGAGAGAGAGAGAGAGTGTGTGTGTGTGTGTGTGTGTGTGTGTGAGTGACATCACAGTGAGACCTAATGGCAGAAACAGAACCCATATCTGGTATTCTAATTCCCAATTCTGTATTTTCTTTTCTCATGGATATGCAGAGGTTGAATGAAAGCTAATGAAACATGACCAAGGAAAAGTGACGATAGGGTCCACTGTGGACCCTGCCATTCATAGTACAAAGTTTAAGAAAGACACTGCCTTATATTTTACTGCAAACTGGAGCAGAGGGGCGCGTGGGTGGCTCAGTCAGTTAAGCATCCGACTTCAGCTCAGGCCATGATCTCATGGTTCATGGGTTTGAGCACCGCATCGGGCTCTGTGCTGACAGCCAGCTCAGAGCCTGGAGCCTGCTTCGGATTCTGTATGTCCCTCTCTCTCTGACCCTCCCCTGCTCATGCTGCCTCTCTCTCTCTCTCAGAAATAAATAAAACATTAAAAAAACAAAAAAGTGCTGAGAATAGGCACTCACGTAAAAAAACTTGAGCAGAGTTTGCTCAGTGGAAAGCCTTTCTGGGAGGTAGACAGGCAATGTGATTGTCCACACTCAGAATGCAAATACCAGCCCAAAGTTCTGGAATCCAGCACCTCTGAGAATTTCAGAGTTTGAAGGGACCTGAAGGGCATTTATGTCCTCTCTCTCAGGATCTTTAGATTTTTTTTTAAATGTTTTATTTATTTCTAGGAGAGAGAGAGAGAGACAGCGTGAGCAGGGGAGGGTCAGAGAGAGAGGGAGACACAGACTCTGAAATAGGCTCCAGGCTCTGAGCTGGCAGTCAGCACAGAGCCTGATGCAGGGCTTGAACCCACGAGATCATGACCTGAGCTGAAGTCAGATGCTCAACTGACTGAGCCACCCAGGAGCCCCTAAAATGACCACTTAAAACTGAATATTGCCACGTGTGATTTTTTTTAGTCACATTGGAACAGAATGATCACTAAAAGCAGTGCAGTGCAGAATGTCCTAAATTGGGTCTGGCGGTGATTTCTTGGAATTCCAAGAGGTTTCATATGTGTGCCTCCCCACTCCCCTGTAACAGAGAGCCTTTCACCTTCAGACAGCTCCATTGGTGAAAAGTTGGCCAAGCTCCGCCTTACGGAGTCACGTGGAAGCACGTAATCCTGTGTCCCTCTAGATAACTGTTACATATTCTTCTTTTTATGGCTGGTTCCCTAAAATTCCTTTTTCCAAGGTAAACATTCCTGGCTCCCTGAGTGCCTCATCAGATTAAAATAGCAGGATTCTTCCATCTAGCTGTGCCGGCTCTTCTAGCCTCCCCATTCCGGCAGAAGCATTATACAAAGGCAGTGGGGTGCAGCAGGGCCCAAGGGTGGCTGAAGAATGTGCCTCTGAAACGCCACAAATTCTGGAAATTACTCCTGCTGTGGATCCCTCCATTATCCTTTCACAGTTATTACTGGAGACAGTAGAGTATAGTGATTAAGAGAACAGGCTTCAGAGTCTGACTCCCTCAGAATCTGACTCCCTGGGTTCTAAATCCTGGCTCTACCTCTACCTAAATGAGTGACTTTAGGCAAGTCACTTACAACCTCTCTGAGCCTCAGTGTCCTTACATAAAATGAGACAATGCTGGGAAAACACCAAGTGTCTAAGATAGTCAATACCTGTTAAATTATTTCCCTTCCCGGGAAGTCAGCATTACCTGTGATCGTCAGGAATTTTCTCACAATGTCGGTCACAGACCAAGGCCCTTGCCGTCCCCCCAGCACGCCCGAGATCTGTTTCTTCTAATGGGCCTAGGGGGGCCTGAGCCAGGTTGTGGTTCATTTATTCAACACCTCAGAGCACTCACCGCATGCCAGGCTCAATGGCAGGAAGTAGAGAATCAGGGATAGAGCGACACGCCTGGGCTCACTCCACAAGTTGGTAGCTACCCAGACTGACAATTACAGCACAGTGTGTAAGACCGCGGGAACACCAGATGTAGCAGGAGCCTGGAGGGACCCTTAACCCAGGGAAAGGGGTTCTGGACCAAAAAAGCTGCTGAGCTGAGTTTTCAAAGGAGAGGCAGTCAAATGGGAAGGGCAGGGCTGGAGGGAGTCCAGCTGCCTGAGACTGGGGTGCTTTTGAGCTACTGCAGCAAGAATGATATGAGCATTGTGGAGGTGGAGACTGGAGAGGCAGTCAGGAGCTGGTCCAGGAAGGGATGTGGATGCCATGCTGAGGGGGTTGAAGACTCTAGGAAGCTGCTGAAAGATTTTTTTTTTAAATTTCTTAAATATTTATTTTTGAGAGAGAGACAGAGTGTGGGTGGGGGAGGGGCAGAGAGAGAGGGAGACACAGAATCTGAAGACACAGAATCTCCAGGCTCCGTGCTGTCAGCACAGAGCCCAATGCGGGGCTCGAACTCACAGAACGTGAGATCATGACCTGAGCCAAAGTTGGATGCCTAATCAGCTGAAACACCCAGGCATCCCTGAAAGATTTTGTTTAATGTTTATTTATTTTTGAGCGGGGGAAGGTGTGGAGAGAGAGAGGACAGAGGGTCCGAAGAAGCCTCCATGCTGATAGCAGTAAGCCCAAGCCTGGGCAAAAACTCAGGAACCGTGAGATCATGACCTGAGCTGAAGTCAGATGCTCAAACAACTGCGCCACCCAGGTGCCCCACTGTTAAAGATTTTTTGCTGGGGAGAGAGACGATCAAATTTTTATTGGAGAAAGATCATACTAGGCAGCAGCCTGGCTGTCCTAAGGAAGGGAGTGTTTGTCCTCAGAAGAACAGAGCTAGTGAGCTCAGTCATGAATAAGGGACAGGGAAATGGTCTTTGGTTCTCTGGAGCTCACGTTTAGAAAAGGTATCACCCTTCCTTCCTATGACAGTCCCTGACACATGGGCCTGGAACACAGTGGGTCCAGCCTTCCGTAGCTTAAATCTATGGGACTTAAGAGTGCCAGGGGCGCCTGGATGGCTCAGTCGGTTAAGCGTCTGACTCCCGCTCAGGTCATGATCTCACAGTTCATGGGTTCGAGCCTCGCGTCAGGCTCTGTGCTGACAGCTTGGAGCCTGGTTTGGATTCTGTGTCTCCCTCTCTCTCTGCCCCTCCCACATTCATGCTCTGTTTCTGTCTCAATAATAAACAAACATTTAAAAAAATTCTTTAAAAGAAAAAATAGTGCCAGTCATTCCCTGCCCAGAAGACACGCACAGTGAGGTTGGGAAAAGTGGGTGCAATTTGAGGACAAAATAACAAGGCCTGACTGGGTATGATTAAATGAGTTAGATAAGTTAACTGAAGTTTGGGGTAAGGCAGGGGGTGCAGATCTCTAGAGTAACATTATTAGGAAGGGCTTCCTGGAGAAAGCAGACTTTGAACTTGGCCTTGGAGGCAACTGAAGTGCTGGATTCTTCACTGTGATTTCTGGGGGCTGTGTGGATCCACCCCTGAGCTGGAAACACGCTGCAGTTTTACTTCTGCTTGTGTGGTTATCCAGTTTGCAGCCATGTCCCCCAGAGAAGACACTGTTCCATGAAGGCAGAGAATATGTTGGATTTTCCTCACTTCTATATCCCTTGGGCAGCACAGCGTAGGCCCTCAATTAATATTTGTTGGAATCCTGGGGCACCTGGGTGGCTTAGTCGGTTAAGTGTCTGACTTTGGCTCAGGTCATGATCTCACAGTTCATGAGTTGGAACCCTGCACCAGGCTCTGTCCTGACAGCTCAGAGCCTGGAGCCTGCTTTGGATTCTGTCTGTCTGTCTCTCTCTCTCTCTCTCTCTCTCTGCCCCTCTCCTGCTAACTCTCTCTCTCAAAAATAAACATTAAAATATTTTTTCAAAATATATTTCTTGGATTCCTTAATGTATGAGTGGCAAGAAGGAAGGGATAAGAGCTTCAGCTGTGGAAACGTTACAAGTAAAGGGCAGAGAACAGAACACACAGTATGGTGACCCATTGTGTTCGGATGGTGCTTTATTGCTCACAGAATGTACCAGCACACTATTTGCTTTGATCCCTATCATCAACGGTCTTTTTTGATGCTGTCCAATGAACAGGGCAATTGTCATTCCGGTTTTACAAGGAGAGAAGAAGTTCAAGAATTTGTCCAAAATTTCACTGCTACTTAGTATGAATTCAGACCTGCACCTGGTGTTTTAATACAAAGTCTGGTGCAATAACTAAATTACTTTACTCCTGGGTTCTTCCCAAGGGAGACCATACAATAGGACATAATGTCCAGAGGGGGTGCCCAGGGGCCAGGTCACAGAAGGCCTTAAATGTCAGGCTAAGAAGTTTGGACTTTATCTTCCGCTGGTGACAACCTATGAGAGTATTTTTTTAAGCTGTTTAATAAAGAATAAATATTAATGGTATTTGTAAGGTATGGTATAAAGTTAATTGCATATTAATATTTATTTAAAATAAACATAAGGAAAGTAGTTTAATTTCAAGAACCAAGAGTCAAAGACCCAGGAGTCAAAGGAGTCATCTCTCTTGGACTAAGAGCATTGCTCATCAAACAACTTGAAGTGGCACTATATTCCATGCATCATCCTTAATGCCAAGGACACAGAGGTGACGGAGATACAGGTCATCGTCAGGATGAAGTGAGACCGTGTAAGCAGCTAGAGCCACTTTATTATTGCCATCCTGAATAAAGGAGGTTATGTGCTTGAGCTGAAAAAAAATTGTCAATGGCATCACCTCCAAACTGCCAAGGTGGAGCTTCAATTTCAAGGTTGTGCGTGGGTTGAAGCCCCTGCTGCATCCTTCAACCATCCTGTGGGATCATCTCAGCAGAGATGAAGAGTAGAGATGAACGTGCTGTTGGCCCATTGAACCACAAGGATGCCTACCTAAAAGACAAGCCCCTGGCCTGTATGCCGGAGATCCCAGATACAATAAGGCAGTATCTAGGAGAAGCAGGATCATCTGCAGGGGTTTCCTAACAACATGCTTCAGGAAGAGCTTGATAATTTGAAAGAGGGAAAGCAGAGTCCTATTCCTGTCATTGCCATGGCAGCCATGATTACTGATGGGAGTCCGTGTAGCCCTCTGATGTGTCAGGAGTAGGGGAAATGTTGACAGCCACAAAGCTAGGCTATCTGTAAATTGTTTGGTTCTAAGAAGGGAACAGGGCCATTAGATCTGGCCCTATGGAAAAGGAATTAGAATTGTTCCGCCTGACCCCACTGATTAGAACTAGGGGAGATACTGTCTTACCGAAGGAAAAACTTTCTTACTGCCAGGACTGGACTTCAAAAACATCATGAAGTTATCTTGAAAGACAGTTTCCTGACACTGGACATGGCCAAGTATAGACCCCATAGATGATGTGGAGGAGATTCCAAACACTGGATTGGTGTTTGAACCAAAAGGGCCCTTTGACCATGAGACAGAAACCTATTTGTCGGGTAATGGCAGCCGGTGCTGTTGATATTAAGGAGAAAGGTTTCAGGGACTGGAGTAGTCAGAGAAAAACGTTGAATTACTTCATCCTTCAGTGTATCAGATTCCTACTGTGGTGGGCACTGTTCTAGGCACTGAGGCTATTGGTGGTGGAAACAGACAAGATTCCTTAAAGGAATACCTTAAAGGAAGCAGAAAGTAGAGGTACAGTTTAGAGAGAGGGAAAGGAAGCAGGGTAATTAAGGACCACCAATATGTGAAGCACTATTAGATGTTTTTCTGTATTTCCGATGCTTTCAACAAGCAGCATAGCAGCGATCATCTAGTAGAGTGACAAGCTAGGCTTGTTTGTACAGAATGAGCTCTGCAACCAACTGATACTGTAAGAAAGCAAATGGATTAATCTCTAAAAATCCGTTTCCTCTTGTGTGAAATGGGGATGGTGACAATACCCGCCTCAAGTACTGTGAAAATTCAATGAGCTAATGCCTATAGAGTGCTCTTAGGTGGCTGTAGCTTGAAGGTGCTCAGTAAACTTGCCGTAGCCATTGCGAAGGGGAGCACAGCGAGTGATGGCCAAGGCCTGAATTTGGAACTAGGACTTTCGGGGTTATCTTCCTGGGCTTAGATGCGCTCTGGCTCCCACCTCGGAGCAGCCACGGGGCTCTCGTGCTGCCCAGCGATCCCGGACCGTGCGACTTCCCCGCCCACCCCCTCCGGCCCCGCCCGCCCCTTCCGCCGGCCGGACGTCCGGTCCACGTGCGCGCGCTCCCGAGGCCCCGCCTGCCTGCCGGGAGCCACCCAGTAAGCGCCTCTGAGATTGGGCGAGCGGCGGCGGCCCAGGCCGGGTCAGAGGGCTCGGGTACGAAGCGCGCTGCGCGGGCAGGGGGTGGGGTGCACAAGGCTGCGCCGGGGTTGGGGGGGCGTGACGGTGGCGCCCCAGGGTCGCTTTGTTCTTTCCGGCTCGGAAAGCCGAGTTCGCCTCCAGGGCTCGTCCTGGCGCCCGGCCTGGCTCTGGGCGCTCAGAACCACCGCCCGAGGGGGTACCGGGCGTGCTGCGTGATGGAGCACACCGTACGCGCCTCCCCCCCCAACCTTGGCTACAATTTGTTGAGCACGTACTATGTAGCAGACCCTGGGGCGAGCGCTTCTGCATCCATGGCTCGTTGCCTTGGCAACAGCCCTACTAAACAGGGTGCTATTTACAGCTGTGGACGTGGTTTACAACCGAAATCGTGGCAGCGATTGTGGTTTCAAACGCAGATTCAGTCCAAAGTCAGTACAGAACTTGTGGTCAGACCTGTTTGATTTTTGCGTCCAGCCTCTGCCCCTTCCGGTTATGTGAACTCGAGTAGCTTTCCCACTGTCCGTTTGCTCCTCTGGAAGACGGGAATGATACTTACCAAGTAGGGTGGATTGAAAGTGCTTTGCTGGGTAGCTGCTGTTTTGGTGAGTGATCATCATCTCCGCTTCCCTCTATTAGCGAAGATTCCCCTCACCCCCATTAGGCCTGGGCGGCATGGTGGATTTCCACTGATTCCACTTGTAAAGAGGGTGACCTGGCCGCCAGCTTTGCTTCCATCCCTTAGGTCCCAGGGGAGACTTTGGTACCGTTGTCTTTGAGTCAGCTAATGAAGTTTTCTTTCTCCCTTAGTTATGGGAAAATTATCACCCGAATGAATCTTGACATTAAGTCCTAATTTTAAAGATGAGGAAATAGAAGCCTTCAATATGGGTTTTTGGCTTCTTTGTTCCTTAATTCCTCCCTCCCTTTCTCTTTCTTCCTTCCTTCCTTTCTTTCCTTCCTTCCTTCTTTATTGGGGGATGGTGATGGCTGATTTTACCTAAATAAATCAGATGGATTTGACTGGGTGCAGATCTAGGTCTTGGGAAAAGGCGAAATGCTAGCACTCTGGCTGATGAATGCAAAGTAGACAGGCCGGTTGGGGTGGTTTTCTCTGAGCAGGGCCCTAAGTTCACACCGGATCCTCTTCTGTCTTGTGCCAGGTCTGAACCTGTCCTCCTGGGTAATATGTTTAAAGGGTTCAGATCCTTCCTTGGTGCCTTGCCTTAGGAGAAAAGATTAGGGTCGATAACTGAAGGCAGGCAAGCAGTGGATTTTTGGTTTGTTTTGGAAACTATTCACTGGCATATTTTCAGATAACTAAAAATTTTCTCTAGAAGTTTCAGTAGTTGCAAAGAATATGATTTCTGGTTAACTGTGAATATTGACACTTTAAATAGGAAACTGTTACATCAGGCATTTAAACCTGTGCAATGGAATCTCAATACCATAGTGATTTGATTTCCCTTATCCTCTGGGAAAAAAAAATACAAACCAGTTTTTATTTAACCTTTGAAATTTTACATTGTTATTTTTCTTCCTTGAACTTATATTTTCACCTAATTTCCTCCACAGAATTTTTTTCTTGTATAACAGATTTTGAAGGCCTTTGGTTTGTCATCCTACTTCTCTGCAACAAACAACAAAAAATATTAAAAGTAAAACTTTTTCAAAAATTGTCTTGTGGTCATAATATTAACAATTTCTTTTGACTTGGGTTTTTATAATTGTAAAATACACAATCGATCAAAACAACTGGTTTTGATCAATTGTCAAAAACCTAAATTTTATTTGAAACGCTTCTCTTAATAAGCTGAGTAGAACTTTCTAAAGTTCATGTGTGCATCCACGTATATTTGCTAGAATGAGCAGAGGTTTGATTCATGTCTATAAGCACTGAAAAAGTCTGTTCATGTATAAACATGCAGGACTTGAAGGCATTTTGTTGTGGTAATATTATTCAATTCTTTGAACACCCTCTGACTTATGGGTCAAAATATCACAGTGAGCTGTCACTGAAATCAATTATTAATGACCTGCCAGCAGACAGTTCTTTTAGGTCTTCCTTAACTATTGAAGGCAAAGATTTGGAAACCACCTGACTCAGCAGGAGGATTTATGTTGTCGCTCTGGGCGGGCACATAGCCACACGAATACTGATGTTTCAAAGTGCCCCTTGATGGTGCCAGAGTAATTTCGTACTAGGGATAGGGCACCATGGCGAGATTTGGCATGGGTGGCTGGCTAGTTGTACCTTTCTTTGAAACCTAGGAGGTGGGGGAGGGTGAAGGGGGACCTGGGAAGGGAGAGGATGAAGACACGTTCCCAAGCTGGTCTGTTTCCAGAGGAAGAGGCAATGGGCATTGAGGTGGAAATTTATTCCTCCTACACTGTGCCTTTGTGCCCCTCTGAAGAGCTTCCTGCACGCTCCAGGGGTTCTCAGTCCCCAGTGTGAAGACCACCTGGATCTATACATGGGCAGATTTCTAACTTCTTTTAACTTCCATTTCTTCCACTTTAGAATGGGAAAGATCCAAAGAACTGACTTCATTGGGGTGCTGTGTTGATTAGACAGGATGAGGGACGTCCCTGGCACATAGATGGTGCTCAAATGGTGGGCAGGTACTCCTTATACTCTACTTCCTGCCCACTGGAACCCACACCTTCCCAGATACTTTCTGCCTCAGTTTCCTCATCTGTGAGCCCAAGAAGTTGTCAGCCCAGAAATGTAGGAGCGGGAAGTGATGTGGAAAAGATGTTGTGATTTCCATAGTAGGCTTTCTGAAACAGATAGGCTCTTATTTTAAAATAGTTAATGTCAAGTTTCTGCTCACCCATGAGCTGGACGCTTTTCTGCATGCTTTATGTATTTGTTCAGCAGATACTTTTTGAGGGCCTTCTACTTGTCCGGCCCTGTTTTAAGCACCTTGGATACAGTAGTGCCCAGATTCTGGGTAGAGGCAGATTACAATAAATGAACGTGAAGATATGTAATATGTCAAGTGGTGCTAAGTTGATAAGTGCTGTGAAGAAAAGTGAACAGTGAAGAGACCAGAGAGTGAAATGGGGGTGCTGTTCGGGACAGTCTCTGATAGAGTAACTGTCAGGCAGACGAGGGAGTAGGCCAGCAGCTCTCTGAGGGAAGAGCGTTCCATCTAGAAGGAACAGTATGTCCAAAGGCCCAAGGTGGGAGTGTGCTTGACAGTCAAGGAGCAGCAGGGTGAGCTGAGATCAAGGGGAGAGAGGTCCGTGGCCATCACGAAGCCCCTGTAGAACCTGTGAGGGCCTGGCTGGCGCTCTGAGTGAGAGAAGAACCATTGGAGGGTTTTGAGCAGAGGGGCGAAATTATTAGACTTGCATTAAAATATTTTTTAATGGGGGCACCTGGGTGGCTCAGTCGGTTGAGCTTCCGACTTCGGCTCAGGTCATGATCTCACGGTTCGTGGGTTCAAGCCCCGCATCGGGCTCTGTGCTGACAGCTAGCTCAGAGCTTGGAGCCTGCTTCAGATTCTGTGTCTCCCTCTCCCTCTGACCCTACCCGGTTCATGCTGTCTCTCTCTCTCTCAGAAATAAATAAAACATTTAAAATTAAAAAAAAAATTTTTTTTAATGTTCATTTGAGAGAGACAGAGCATGGGGAGGGGAGGGGCAGAGAGAGAGGGAGACCCCGAATCTGAAGCAGGCTCTGGGCTCTGAGCTGTCAGCACAGAACCCGACGAGGGGCTGGAACTCACGAACCACAAGATCATGACCTGAGCCAAAGTCGGGTGCTTAAACGACCGAGCCACCCAGTGCCCCTGGACTTGCATTTTTAAAGGTTCACACCAGATACTGTATTGTGAAGAGATGACACTTGGGGAGCAAAGGTGGCAACAAGGAAATTGCTCAGAGGCTACTGCAGTAATCCATGGATGGACCCGGTGGTGTCTTGCAGGGTTGTGCAGATGCGGGGTGGGCAGGGCCAGCAGGGGGCGCTAGTGGGTGGGATGAAGATTGTGTCGGGCCAGGAGGACACCACAAGTTTTGGCCTGAGCAACCCAAAAGGTGCAGGTGCCCTTTGGGGAGGTGGAGTAGATTGCAATGACTGTGAAGTGTCACACGCACTGGGGAAGATGAGGTGACGGTGACATACATACGTCATCTCATTTAATCCTGATAAAACCGATGAGTAGTCGTCATTAATCACATTTTTTTAATGCAAGGGAATAAGCCTACAATGCTGAAGTTGCCCAAGGCCATACAGCTAGTTAAGGGACAGGGCTGAGACCCCAGCTGAGGCCCTCATGACTCTGAAGCCCCTGAGAGTTTGTATTCCCTGTGATCCTTTTTCTGCATAAGCACCAACACAGTCCAGTGCAAACAGTCTCTCTGCCCGCCCATAGAAGCTCCCTGGACTGATAGCTTGTGCTCGGAGAGTGCTCGAGAAGAGTGACCTGTTCCCTCCCTTCCCCTTGGTGTTGGCAGAGGGGAAGGGAGAGGAGGACTTACCGCCAACACCTTCTCTTGTGGCTCCCTCCAGGTAATTGGCAGTTTGGAGGAGGTAGTGACTTAATAGGCCTAGCGGATGAGAACTTGGACTCAGGTTTAAACAGCAGCCTCTCACCAATAATGAAAGATTAGGAGTGGGGAAAGCATAGATAAAAATAGCACTTACTAGTTAACTGGAAAACAATATATTTTTGCAACCACTGGTTCCACAAGAAAATAATTGGGTCCCAAGGCGGGGAATGACTCGTTTTCATGAATGATTATATTGATCATTGGAGCAAAATGGATACATCCCTTTTGGAAAGCGATTCGAAGGAGAAGTGTCTGGCAGGGCAGGCATGCCCAGTGTTAAATCCTGGGAGGCTGCAGGAGGAGGAAAGGCAGCTGCAAGCTAATGAGGGAGTCCGGTCCTGGCCCCAGCACAAGCAGGTTGGGGGTGTTGATTTGGAGACACAAAGAAACAGAACTTGCTTCCAACTTAAGTCCTGAGCTCTCCCAAGGGAGGAAAGAAAGAGTGTCCATTCAGGTAT